AATATTAAATAGCACTTTGACTAACTCTAAGCATTTACATCTATGAAATATCAGGCTAACTATGTTTGTGAAATTTTTTTCCTAATACGTATTAAAACCAAAACGTAACTTAATATAAAAAAAAATGCTTAGTCCTGCACCACCCACGTTCGTCTGGTCCATCAGCAGTGGCCCACATGCCACACCCTGGGAAACACCACCAAAGGAATTTATGAAAATTGAAACGGAAATGCAGACGCTTCCCATGTGTCCCAGGTATTCAGATCCAGGGTAGGAGGAAGGAGAAGGTAAGCTGCCATGTTTCTAACCTAAAAGCATCGTCAGGAAAAATGAACAAGGGTGTTTGATTTCCACCTGTGAAACCTCTCAGGAGACCAGTCATCACAGTGGTGGGCTGCCCACGGCTGTCTGTGCGGATGACTGGCCACACGGGAAGGCCTTTTGTGGAGAAATGGAGGAGGGTGAATGGACTTAGGCTGAGCTTTCAAGAAGAGAAAACATGTAGGAAAACCTCAAAGAAAAAAAGACATGGCATTTTCAAAGATCAGTAAGAAATGGGACAGGCTGTGTGGTTCACGCATCCTAAGAGGAGGGGGTGTGTTTGGAGGCACACGGGCTATGTGGGCTCCTGTTATATCTTGGGGGCGGGAAACTGGAATCTGTAAAGCATGTTAAGCAGGTGGGTGATCCAATCAGATCAATTAGATTTTCATACTCGAAAGGACTTTCCTGCTGTAGTTGGAAGAAGAGATTGGGGAAGAGGAAGAAGTTTAGAAAGAGGCTGTTTCCCTGGTCTCCGGAGAGATGAGGCCAGGTTGGACTGGGGGTGGGTGAGGGCAAAGCAAAGATGGAGACAAGTGAATGAATGCCAGGTACTTTGTATTTGGAAGATATAACGTATAGAACATAGATTGACCATGATGTGCAAGGAGAGACAAGACCAAGAAAAGGTCCCGGGTCTGGCTTTAGCAGGGGGTGGATGGAGGGTCCATTCACTGAGCCCAGAAGCTTAGGGAGGAGCAGTTTTGCAGAGACTGATCAAATATGGTGTTTGCAGTCCTGTGTATCAGGAAACAGAACTCATAAAGCTCGAGGGATTCTGTAGATTGCGTTCATAGAGCTTTTTTGATCCCCAAAGACTTTCCTTCCTGGATGTTTTATCCCATTTAATTTAGTGTCTGTGAAATATCAATAGAAGCTGGTCCGTGGCCGACGCTGTCCTTGTATTGTTTACAGATGTCAGAGCCGCTGATGACTTAGCTCGTCAGTTCTCAATCCGAGGGGCCGGATGTCAACATCTTCATGCCTTAGGACAAAAACCCTGTCCTATTTCCCTGTAAATGTTTTGTTCATTTGTTCAAAGTGTGTGCATATAATAGTTTACCTCATAGAATTATTAGTTGGCCTGATGTAGTCTCCCCTTTTAATACTGATTCAGCCTTTCTCTACTACCCATCAAGCCACAGATCTGTCCTGGAGACTGCTGTGCAGGGCAGTCAGCCTGCTCACGTACTGGCAGATGTGTAAGCCAGCCCAAGTCACCGAGGCTAAAGCTGCAGACGCTCCCTGAATTGCCGTGGAAAGATGTTTATGATATGTTGTTGTTAAGTGAAAACTGAGGTTATAAAACCATATGTAGATTTCCAGTTCTAATAGGAGGGTGGGATGAACGAATGCGACCCTTCTTTGTACTAGAAACACATAAAAATACTAACAAAATGTAAGGTTTAATGTAAGAAAGAGAAAATATTTGCAAGTCATAAAACTGATAAGGGACTTGTGTCCAGAATACATTTAAAGAACTCCTCCAACACAACAATAAAAAGATGAATAAGCTACTTTTAAAATGGGCAAAAGATGTGAATAGATTTTTCTTCAGAGAAGATGTACAAAAGGCCAATAAGGATATGAAAAGATGCTCAGCATTATTCGTCATTAGGGAAATGCAAATCAGTCCCACAATGAGATAACACCTCGTCCTCCCTGGGATGGCTATCGTAGAAAAGGAAGACAATAGCAAGTATTGGTGAGGAGGCAGAGAAATTGGAACCCTCAGATATCGCTGATGGGGATGTAAAATTGGTAAGCCATTTGGAAAACAGTCTGGCAGTTTTTTAAAAATGTAAACATAGCATTACCACATGACCCAGTGACTTTACCCCTGGAATTTAAAAGCTATATCCACAAAAAAACTTATACATGAGTGTTCATAGCAGCATTATTTGTAATAGCCAAAGAAAAGGAACCACCCAGATGTCCATCAGCTGATGAATGGACAAATGACATAGGGTATGTTAGTGGAATATTACTTGGCAGGAAAAAGGAATGAAGTGCTGATACATGCTACTGTATGGATGAGCTTTGAACACATGCAAAGAAAGAAGCCAGACACAGCAGGCCACATGTGGTATGGTTCCATTTATGTAATGCATGTCCAGAATAAGCAAAGTCATAGGACCAGAAAGGAGTTGGTGGCTGGCAGGGACTGAGAATCATTGATCGGTAGCCCATAACCTGGACATGTGCCCTGACCGGGAATCGAACCATGACCTCCTGGTTCATAGATTGACGCTCAACCTCTGAGCCATGCCGGCTGGGCATGAATTTAAAACCAGAGGGATCAGTCTGGTCAGATGGGGAACGCCAGGGCCGTGGGCTCTGCGGGCTAGCGGCTGCGGCGTTCATTTCGTCATGGGGCAAGAGAGGTGGCCTGGAGCCTTCAGGGGAGAAGCAGCTGAAAGTGAGATACTGCATAAAATTTGGAATAAAACACGTAGGCTCAAATAAGCAACATTTAGAAAGAAAAGGGGGACAAAAATACAAATAACTACTAATATAGCCGAGGTCTTAAAGTCAAAAGAAACATGTGAACCACTTTATGCCAACACACTTGAAAATCTAAACAAAAAAAGACAATTTTCTAGACTTCAAAATTAAAACAGTATATATAATATCATCTCCTATGAGGGCAGAGGAGAAAAAGGGGGGGTGGAGAGAGAGGGAGAGAGAGAGGAGAGAGGAGATACATAAATAGTTCAGAGTAGTAGAATACAGGTAATTCTAACATTTCCCCTTTTGCTTACCTGTCCCATGCCTAATATGTCAGGCAAGGGTAACTCCTACGTACACAGCCTCTGTTTACCATTTAGGTCATGGATTTCGCGAGTTTTCTTTTGGTCAGAGGCCCCGAAGAAGAGGGTTGTCTTTTAGGCGACTCTGAACCACCACTGCTTAGGATTTGTTCACTCACGTTGATTTGAAAGCTTTTAAGATCCCTGGGTGCTTCCGTTTCCAGGGTTGCTAAATAGGGCCAGCGCCGCATCGATCATATTCCCAGCAGGGCTGTTGGGAGGATTAATGTTTTAGTACAGTAACATAACAACACGATCTCCTGCTCCTTTAAAAAGGTGTTAATTAAGTTCAAGTTTTTCTTTTTTGAGGTTGTACTTAGTTTTATAGTGATAATACGTATCTCATCTAGCGTCTGAAAGGTAAGCAGCAGGGCGTTCGTGCTTTCTCACAGAAAATGTGACGGACAGAAGCACCCCACGCGAATCCATCATTGGGGTTCCCCTCTGGCTATCATGGGAAGCAAGTGTGAGTTTTATTGTGGTGCGGGAAGGGCCTCCATGTGGCTCGGTCTGTGGCCGGGCCGGGGTAAGGATGCTCTGGGGAGAGAGCCCCCTGACCTGGTCCTCTCCTTCCTTGTCTGCCCATCCCAGCGAGATGAAGCAGAAGCTGGACGAGGAGGGCAGCAAGTGCAGCATCCTCTCCAAGCACCAGAAGTTCGTGGAGCACTGCTGCATGCGCTGCTGCTCGCCCTTCACCTTCCTCGTCAACACCAAGCGCCGCTGCGGGGACTGCGCGTTCAACGTCTGCAAGAGCTGCTGCTCCTACCAGAAGCACGAGAAGGTCTGGATCTGCTGCGTCTGCCAACAAGCCAGGTGAGTGGCCGAGTGGACCCCCGGGGCCTCGTCTGGCACCACCCATCTTCCTTCAACCAGGTAGGATGAGCAGCGATGGATCAGCACACAGTACTGAGTGCAGATTACCCAGGTGAGGGGCTGTTAAGGATACTGCGTGAGCATCGCAGAGGGGACCACATTTCTCAACTTCCATTCATTCATTCATTCATTCATTCATTCCACGAGTACGTGTGGGAGTCTTAGGAATGATGCTGGATGCAGGAACCATGATGGTGAATGAGGCAGATGGCTTTTGGGCGGGGGGAGGGGAGGGTGGACGGATGAGATGCTAGAATGTTACAGTACTGCACCCAGCTGGTTGGGTGCATTCATTGTACACAGCACTTGGCTCAAAGGTCTATCATGGCACCACTGTGCTGCCCAACCCATGGTGGATGCCTCCAGGGCAGAAACTGTCCCTGTCTTATTCAACTCCACGTGTAGCACCATACATAGCCTGGCATGTAAAAGGCACACACATCTTAGGGGCTGAATAATAGACCAGGGCAGTGTTCAATAGTAGAAAAATACATGGTATGAAGGGGGTTTCAGGAATTTTAAAGGGAAAGGGATCTAGAGAGTGTTGGAGTGTCCTAAAGAGGTTTCATGGAAGAGGAGGGGCCCCTGGGTGGAACTCGATAGGAGGAATCCCAGGGCATTGTTGGACAAGGGGTGACATGCGCACAGAAGACAGCTCCCCGAGGTGTGTGGCAGGCCTGGAACAGACTCTTGCAGAGGCATGTAGAGTTGTGAAGAATTTGGGTTTGTTCCTCAAGGGGTTATGAAATCCTTGAAAATAGCAGTTGAAAATCATTGGAATAGCAGTTTTTAAAATACGTTGTTCTTTACTGTCCTTCAATATATCCACCCCCCACACACAAGGACATATTAGCACCTACATAATTTTGTTTCTTTTGTTTTTTCTCTGTTCCTCTTCTCTGTGGTTCAGAAAAATCTCCAAATTTCCTAAGCAGTCAATAGCCGTGGAGCAATACAGTCACATCCTCTCCACCCCACATCTACCCTGAGCTGCATGAGTTTGTTATCAGTTACAATTAAATGACACATTGCTGTCATGAAACAGCAGAATTGCTCAGTGACGAGTGCACGGCCTCGGGGGCACATCACTTACAAACGGGAGAACATTGCCCCAGAAGCCAGCCCTCTGGTGCCAAGCCTGTGCTACTTTATTTCTACAAGGCCGTCTCAAGGAGGAGCTGAATATTGAAGAATAAGTTGTGAAAGGGCAGCACATGGCTCCTCAGGCTGCTTTTTAAATGTCCATTTCACATTTCCACCACTTAACGAGGAGGCAGGAGGCTTAGGTAATCCTATATAATAGTCCTGCATTGTTTCCGTGTAAACATTCCATGGCAGTTCCCCCAGTCTCAGAGGTAGGACATTGGGAAATAATGGACCACACATCGGAGGATACCTGGAAAGACATCCAAAACAATGTACATTTATTCCAGTTATTCTAAGAAAAGGGAGGGTCATTGAGGAGTTTTCCACATTCGGCGCGTCTGGCATAGTTAGAACACACCCGAAGTGGCTTCATCAGAATTGGCAGAAGTTGCTGAGGAGAAGTTGGGAATTTTGCTGTTTTAATCCTGAATGCTGTCTTGTGGGGGCATCTCAGAAGTCTTGGGATTATTATTGTCTGAAATCCAAGGGGGACAGAAAAGTTGAGCTCGTTTCCGGTTTTTCTATGTTATTCAAGTTCATCATCAGAACCTGTCCAGGAAAGAAATGCCTAGGACACATGTGGCAGGTGTTTGCTTCTTGACATTTCTCTTGAAACTGATAGAGAAGAACGTCCAGGTCAGTCTGACAGTCTTTTTGCATTTTGCAGGATGTCTCAGAGAAGTCTGTTTCATGTGTGTAGTAACAAGCTGTCCAACCCCCAGCACTACACAAGCATTTAAGGCATATTTTGACTTGAATCAAGTATGGAAATTTTCAGATAAATAACTCTAAAAACTTGCAGTTTTTTGAAACGGGAAAACAACAACAACAACACAGTTTACAACAGATTGTTTAGACTTTAAATACTGATCTTATGTAGTAAAAGCCGGTGTCATGCTGGGGGATAGTGCTATGGGGCACTCCGTACCCCGTCCACTGTGTCCGTCAGCCTCTCTGCCCCTCCTGCAATCTGAAACTCGCCTCTTGGTTTAGAAGTGATTTACTTCAGGTTTCAGTCCTCGGGACATTCTCTCAGCACATTCATATTCAAGCAATTGGATTTAAAACGTATAAGTCAGATTCCACGAAGAACCCACTGTGTGCACGCGTGCGTGCATGCGTGTGTGCGTGCGTGCGTGTGCGTGTGTGTGTGTGTGTGTGTGTGTGTGTGTGTGCAATCTCCGTGAAACCGTGGAGAGCGGCTCTGAGAAGGTGCAGAGATGACCACTTTTGTGAGGTCACTCTCAGAACCATGTTTCACTCCCCACAGCCCACAATGTACTTCTCCTTTCCCATGAAAATCAGTCTCACGTTTGCTGCATTGGTTTCATTCCTAGCGGTTTATCCCCTGGCTACCATATGCATGGTTTTTGAGATACCGTGGAGCCATGAATAATTATAAAAATGTTTGTCCACAGATGATGAAGGAGCTAGGAGTTGAGGGTAGATGTTCCTGGGAAAATATTAACAAGTTGCATCAGAGGTAAATAACTGTGTCAGGTGCTTGGCCCTGCCTCTGGGGTAGCTCTAAGTGAGAGACTTGCTTTAGAAACCAGGGTTCATCAGGGAGGACCCTGGGCCTGGTCACTGTAAAAATGGTGGTGTCTCTACCTGCAGCTTCTTCCTTTGCATCTCCATGAAAAAGAGCTTGTATGTCTTAGTGTTCTGTGTGGTTATTTATCTGAGTAAAGCATTTTTATTTTAAATGGAAATTCCCTTTTCATGGTCGTTGCTATAATTATGATCAGTTCTTTTACTCTATATGTTTTGCATTAAAATGTGTTTCTGTTGTTAGTGTCAGTTTACAATTTTTAACTTTGGGGGATTAACAAACAGACGAATTTATTATGGAATGAATGATGGATTACTTATTTTTAAAAAATACATTTTTATTGATTTTTAGAGAGGAAAGGAGAGGGGTAGAGAGAAACATCAATGAGAGAGGAAGTCATCAATTGGCTGCCTCCTGCAGGGCCGTCACCAGGGATTGAGCCCACAACGCGGGCATGTGCCTTGACTGGGAATCGAACCGGCGACCTCTTGGTTCCTGGGTGGATGCTCAATTGCCAAGCCACACCAGCCAGGCTGTGTGTGTGTGTGTGTGTGTGTGTGTGTGTGTGTGTAAGTATATTTTTATTGATTTCAGAGAGGAAGAGAGAGATAGAAACATCAAAGATGAGAGAGTCATTGATCAGCTTCCTCCTGCATGCCCCTTACTGGGGATCAAGCCCCCAACCTGAGCATGTGCCCTTGACCGGAATCAAACCCGGGACCCTTCAGTCTGCAGTCCAACACTCTATCCACTGAGCCAAACCAGCTAGGGCTGGATGACTTATTTTGGAAGTTATAGAATCAATGGGATATTACTGAATCGTTCCCTTTGTCATTTTTTTTTGGTTATACATAAATTTATGTTCTGGACCACTTATTACACATATTCATTCAAACATTATAAATAAGGACAGATGGCAGTTGCATTTTGAGGTCTTCTGCAGGAAATGAAACTTTCAGAGTGAGTCCAGCCCATACATCTCAACCATTATTATTTCGGGTCAAATTGATTCAAGAACAATGTCTCTACTTTCCTTGGGAACAAACTGTCTTTCTAGTTTTTTGCTTTATTATAAAAATGGTTCTCTCTGATTTTTATCATTTTGTGCTATTACCTTTAACACAGACCAATTTGGGACATTGTTTTCAGGGAATGAGAGAGAAAAAAATATTCTTGGAACTGAAATCAAAACACATCTCCTCATTATGCCTGTGTCATTTGCTTAAGGCTTCATTTCTTTCCTCTTGGAGTTGTAATCTTGGATATCTGATCACTTATCTCTTGGTATTCACACAGCCCATGTGATTCATAAATTTGCATACTGCCCTTTTGGTATAAACTCCATAGTATGTTTTAGAGATACCCAAAGGGTGTGCAATATCTCTAAAAAGATATAACATTTTAAAATGATCACTATTGGATAAGGATATTTACAGGTTAACAAATATATAGGGAAATATTGAACCTCACTAAAAAGCAAGGGAATCGAGTTTGTGCTTCACGTAGTAGGTTTTCCTCATTAGTAATTTTTTTTCTTTACTCATCACACAGATTGAAAAAGGCCTTCTCCTTGCTGGTGAAGTTTAAGTGGGCATAACCTTTTAACCAACATGTATCAAGAGCCTGTAGCATGTCCAAACCCTTTTACTCTATAATTTCATTTTTGAAAACCTATACCTAAATAGGAAACAAATTATTTTTAAAATGCTGTACAAAAATGGGTGAATTATTTGTAATATAAAAAAGACTGATGAATCTCAGAGGGAAATCAGGGGTGGGGGTGGGAAGAGAGATTAACCAAAGAACTTAATATGCATACTAGAGGCCTGGCACACGACATTCGTGCACTGGTTGGGGGGCGGAGGTTCCCCTCAGCCTGGCCTGCACCCTTTAGCAGTCCAGGAGCCCTAAGCCACAGTCAGACATCCTTAGCGCTGCTGCAGAGGTGGGAGAGGCTCCCGCCACCATGGCTGTGCTCGCCAGCCGTCAGCCCAGCTTGTGGCTGAGCAGCACTTCCCCTGTGGGAGAGCACTGACTACCAGGGGACAGCTCCTGTGTTGAAAGTCTGCTCCCTGGTGGTCAGTGTGCATCATAGTCATTGCACCATTTGGTCGATTTGCGTATTACCCTTTTATTATAAAGGATATGCATAACCCATGGACACAGACAATAGTGTGGTGAAGGCCTGAGAGAGGGTGGGAGTGAGGTGGAGGGGATCAGTGGGGGGGGAAAGGGGACATCC